TTCTGATGTACACCAACGCAGCGTACTACTATTGTATTTGTTCATACAGTTCATTTTATTTCACCCACTAATTTATATGTCCATTTCACAAACATTGACGAGGTTCCTTTTTCCTATTTCCTACTTTGAACATTCGACACTGAACACGTACGAGTTCTTTATATATAAAGAGAATGCAATTTAATACGGGTGATAGAATCATTATGACAATGCTTATCGACAGTTTTTTAGACATTCGGTCGATTTGTATTAGTTCCTTGTGTGTTATTTTCCAGGTCTTATTCTCCGTGAAGTGAAGTCTGCAATTTATTTCGCTATCATTTTATACAAATTTACCACACAGTATAATTTTTTTTATTCAAAGTAAATTTGTTTACTGTTTTTGAGAATGAAAGATGCGATTTTTTTTCATTCCTTTAGATTGTTTCTCTGGGGATTCGCGATACTTTCTTCAACACTGTGTTTATTTATCTCTAGAAACTGATCGTGACTGTAATCGACAATTATGACCACCTACTTACATTTCCATGGTCTATTACAATCAAAAAATTCAAACCTTATGAGGCTTCCAATGAACCGAAGTGGCCAGTGTTTACCGCATCAGCGCAAGGACATGGAAGCCACGGAGTGTTCAAGTTCCTGTTTTCATTGTTCTAAAAAATGTTCGGTAATTTTTTTTTTCTGACAGTCTTCTATTTCACTTCAAGTAACTAGAATCAAGGTCGCAATAAATTAGCTTAATTCGTTGAGATTTGTTTTGTTCGGTGAAAAGGGGCAAGTTGCATTGAAAGTCACCCATGTTGATTGTGGAACGATGTTCGTGTCAGATAGGTTTTGCAAATTTAACGGCGGCCACGCGTTAGTAATATCGTGCCTATGTCGTTTGTATCACTGGTCTTATGCCTGGTATCCTTTAAATGGCGGTAATCTTTGCGCCACGTCCTGATCGATATGGGACTCGTAGCGATGTGCACAACGCGTGTAAAATACATTGTTTGTGTACATGAAATTGGACCACGAGCTATAAGACTACCGCTCCGCCCTTTGAACAAGAACTTCTTTCTAGTTAATTATTTGTACATCCTATCGTTACGGGGACGACCACGGATTGAATATGACCAACAATCCAAACCCTTGCACTAAGCCAATTCTGGAGACAACGAGCAAAGACTATCATATTAAGTTTCATGAACACACATTGCCATCACGACCAGTCGTATCGATAATGAGAACGAAAAGCTGAGAAAGCAGTCTGCCTGTGTAAGTACTCAATGGCATGTCTGGATTTCACTTTTAATGATGGCATGAATCCTTATATATCACACTTTCTAATGACCTGAACGTGAAGGAAGAAGATATGTGGTATTTTGTTTTATTTTCATAATGGTTTTGAGTTTATTCGATTTGATTTTGAGCAATATTCTCAGAGGTTGTTGAAGATATTTTGAATTAAATCTGTTTTGGAGTGCTAAGTAATAATTTAAACATAATGATATTTGCTATTTGCAATATCACTATTTCCAGCTGAGGATCCTATGCTTTTTAGTGTATTTCACTCAAGATAGTGATTAATTAACGAAAAGCAGAACAAAAAAAATGATTTAATCAATAAAGTGCCCAGAGAAGCGCATCTTCTCCTTTATATGGCGAGTATTCACGGAGATGAAAGAGAAGGAAACGATCAACGATAAGGTCTAAACGGCGTGCCTCGGTCGGTGATCAAAAAACGAACACCACGTGAATGTAGACACATGGCAAGTTTAATACATCCGAGCTGCAGGCGTTCGTTTAGACTTATGACATTAATCCCTTCAAGCAAGTTGATAGAAGCAATAGAATCAGTGAAAAACAGTGTACAAGGCGTGAATAAATGCGAAGTACCACGGCATGACTGATTTTAAAAATGAAACACTATTTTAAATGAAAGAAAAACACGTGTATTTCTACAATTTGTTTTGCGGGCATATTAAACACATGTAAGACTCGATAAGTGAAAACGCCATCTACGGCAATGTTGAATTGTTGTATGTGTTTATTATTATATTTATATAATTTCACCATGCTAGCTTCATGGTATTACGCACTCCTAGAATGCACAATTCCTTTTAAATTGCAAATAAAACGAATATAATACTCAAATGACAGTTATTACATTAAGACCATGAACACAGCGTTCTTTAATAAAGTGTCGATGCACTCAATTTAGGTATTATGTATTACAACACTGAATATAGTATTGTAAAACTATACGAGCATCGGCAATACTTGAGTGCCCTGCGGTGAAATGAGGCATACGCTTTCTTAAGAATATATTTGAAATCTGTCTTGTTTGGGTACGTACGGTGGCTGCAGCAGAGTCTCATTTTTCCAGTGTTATGTGATGTAGTTAATTGTTGTTGTTAAACTGCTTTGGTTAATATAAAATGTACACGATAGTCATAATGTGGAAAAAATAACATCGCTCTGAGTGGAGAAAATAAACATATGACTTTTGCAGAATGGCTAGGTAAGGTACAAGAAGGAATATGTGAACAGTAAAAAAACATACAGAAGGGAAATATACACCCTCTCGGCCTTTTTTCAAACGGGTACCTTCTACGTAACACATTACCTTTACTTGCGGGGTCTTGTTTTGTGTTCTGCTGAAATTCCACGTAAGTCATGGAGTGCGGTACTTGTGGGTAAAAATCAGTGCTAGAAGATGAGTCGGTACGAAATTTTGGTTTTCACTTGACTACAAAGTTCACAAGCTTCGTAAACGAAATATGCAAATATAACAGCAAATTCACCTAAAAAACACCGTTTTACAATGTTCACTGATTACTTCTAAGAACGTACTGAACCTTAATGTTGTCACTATTGTGAATACAAATATATTTCTCCTTCAAAACATATCAACTGTTTCGTTGAAGTGTGCAGTAAAACTAGCTAGGTGTATAGGTAGACTGTTAGAACTTTCAAAACCATAGTGGAGGCGTCCCTGCAATCATGCAACCATGACATCATTATGCAAATTACACCGTTTCGCGGCAGTGTGACAAAACGCTAACAGCCCCCTAGCAGCAAAGATCAATCAAACCGCCACAGTGTTGTTAAAACCAACATGTGTAATTAAACAGTTAGTATTATAGTCGAAAGCAGGGCTACGAGAGCAATAACTCTCAATTGGCGTTCATGAAAAAAAGCGTTGGACGGCATACAATCGCGATGTCCCGTCCACACCAACGACAACTGATCAACAAATTTTAAATTGCATTCTCCCCCAGTTAGCCCGTTTTCTCTCGAATGGTTGCCTATGTATTCATTGACAATGAAGTGTCGGAAATGGGAAAAGTAAAAATTAAAGGTGGCATTTTGATGCCAAAATTATCCTTTTCAAAGTCATTTTCAGTTGTCGGTAACAACATTACGACCAAAACGTTTAGTAAAATTATTTGGTATCAGGCAATGTCATAGATAAATGATTGGTACGTTGGTTGGTTGGTTTATACGTATCACCAATTCTCTAGCTGAGTTTAGAGTCGGCACCCCCTATCCCGACACACTTACTAGTATTAACCCGACCATGCTCCGAGCGAGTTTTATTTTCTCCAGTGCAGAGTTTCTTTGAAATCAAGAAGTTAAACATCGGCTAAGTGGAGACAGTAACTTGACATTTGATTATACATATGCTAAACGTACTTTAAACACAGTTAATATACACAGGTATACCGTGAACCCAATCAGGAATATTGTTTTTGTTCTGTTGCCATAACTAACAATGTAACATGTGGACGTGCACTTGATTGTTGATGGTATCAAATCTCTTCCTTGTAAGTTCCTTGTGTTGTTTTTCCCCTAGTTAAGTTAATGATAATTTAAACATTTGCTGGGTCAATGTCATTTCCGTACGTCAATAGGAGGAACGTGGGCGAGAATACATCACAGTAACCGGGGGCATGTGACATTTTTCACGTTAGAAATGGTTGGGGAAAAATATGTTGACGTAGGAATAAGTTGTTATCGGATACAAATCATCGGTGGGCGGAAGTAGTGGATTGGTCAATTATTTTCTTGGTTACCAGATGTACTTACGCTCAAATCCCAAAATTCCCTTATGGCATTTAGAACAAGATGGAGATTACCAGAGTCATACTTGCATTTCGCAATACACGCCGGGACCTATCGTCTTAAGAAACTGCAGTAAAGACACATCGATGAGCGGGCGAAAAGCTTACTCGACACTCGTCGTTGACTATTCTATATTTCTAATTTAGGGTATAAAAGTAATGAAATCAATAACAAACTAATTGTGTTTTCACAATGATGTATTTGGCGTAAGTGTGAGTGAGGAATACAGTTCACACCATAATTAGGACATGTGTTTAAATGACATTAAGGCTGAGTACATATTGCTTAGAGGTGCATTGTTTATGCTAGTACGGCCAAGCTATAGACAGTAAAAGATTGAATGAAAGAATAATAAATTATGACTCTGTACAATGCCAGTCTGTAAGAGAAATTAGAAACTCACACTGAACACCTTGCTCTCTACCATGGCTCGCTTCTATTGTCACTGTCATTAACAGTTGTCACTATAGCAACACTGTTTTGAGCACCGCGACGGTTTCCGGGCTAGCGGCAAAATAGTCTCGGCTTTGTTTATCAGTCACGAAATTGATACGAATATTACAATGAGTTCCAATCATTTCGAGGATGAGCGAAGATTTCAAATTGGGAGACATCGATACTTTGAAAGTTAGCTTTTTGAGAACTGCTATGACGATATTGATTTGATTACGTCATAATATCGCAGCAATTATAATAAATTGTGTCTCCTTCTACGTCTGAAAGCTAACTTAGTGTTCAATTGCTATTCACGGCGGCGAGTGCGCATGTGCAAACAACCGACCACCTAGTGATTATTATGACAGGAATGATCGCGAGTATCACATTCACCCAACGCCACTCACGGAGTTGTTACACGCATATGTGTATACATGTATACACGAGGTGACACCATGGATTGTAGCTCGCTGGAAACCTTGCAATTTGTACTTGCCGGGATGATGCCCGAATCCGATCTGATTGACCCGAAATTGTTAAGTTTGAACTGCAGTAATAACACCACGACCAACGACACAGACGCGGTCTTCCTCGACTACTCAGTGGATGAGATAATAGATACGTTTAGACAAGGCATGTATACGCACCGATCTCCAACTACCATAGCGCTGATTATTCTTTACCTTACGGCGTTCGTTCTTGGGTGCGTCGGCAACACACTCGTTATAATTGCGTGGTTTCGCAACAAACATATACGGACTATCATTAACTGTTTTTTGGTCAACTTAGCTGTGTGTGACTTGGCGGTGGTGTTGGTGTGCATGCCGATAACACTGGGCAACATTGTCTACCAGGAATGGATTTACGGGGAAGTACTGTGCAAGCTTACTCCATGTGTACAGGGGATGTCAGTTTCCTCCAGCGTACTTATTCTGACTGCAGTAAGTTTAAATAGATTTTATGCAATCCATAGTCCATTGAAGGCCAAGGTGTTGTACACTCGACGTCGAGTGCGAATCTTGATAATAATAATATGGATCATATCACTAATATTGATGATTCCTATACTCATCGTTAATCGCTTAGTCACACAGGAATTCTTCGGTGTAGTGAAGGTGACTTCGTGCCAAGAAGAATGGGGATCGATGTATCTGAAACACGCCTATAACATGTCTCTGTTTTTGATCCAGTTTGCATTGCCCATGTTATTCATGTTCGTCGCATATGTCATGATTTTTAGAGCCCTGATATCTACAAGCGCAGAACTTGGAAAAAACGCCAATCCGGATAAAGAGGCCCAGTATAAAAGTCGACGAAAGGTTGTGCGGCTTTTGATTGTCGTAGTCCTACTATTCGCAATCTCGTGGTTTCCGTATCACGTCGCTACTATATGGGCGGATTATCATCCTGTGGGCGAAGTGATGAAAGTGTTTCCCTTCGTACAATGGCTTGGATTATGCAGCTCGTCTCTCAACCCTATATGTTACTGTTTCCTTAGCAAAACGTACAGGAAAACTTTTAAAGCGTCTTTGCAGTGTCAGCGGCAGAGGCGATCAAGCCTCAAAAGTGGCCTGGCGGAGCAGCACGGGATAGCCGCTTTCGCTTTCAGTCTAGGGGAAGGTTCGCGTCGGAGTCGGTCAAGAAAACGTGGGACCGTTAGTCTTGTTTCGCCCTATGATGAGGACAAACATAGGAAACGATATGCTACTATGTTTACCAATGGAAATTACATCAACAATCAGCGAGAGGCTGTACAATTCTCAAAGGGTGAGAAATCACCCGGCGAGTTAATGATAAGAGAAACGGTGCTGTGAATATTTGAACAACTTTATTAGCGTTAGCTGTTTGGTACAAAGGCGGGACTTGCATATATGCAGGCATCCCAACTCACTGAGACTTAACACAATTTTCCTGCATTTTTCTCAGTTCCAGTCTGCGATTATTTACATATGTGGTATGCAGAACACAGTGATATTATTTTGAGGGTGACTTTTACCTTGACTTATTCTCGAGTCGAATACTCAAGGTAATGGTACATGGGAGATGTTGTAAATGATGTGACCTAGCACATTTATAGACAATGGTGGTAAAAAATACGAGAATTAAAAAGCATTATTGAAAATACTAGATTATCTCGTGCTCATTATCACCAATATAATGTCGAGAATGTATGGAATGAAAAAGCGTTTTATTATGCTTCTGGTTATTAACTGAACTTAGCAATGACCGTTTCCCTAGAATGCTCTCCAGAGGGCGCTCTGTGTGCAGCGCGATGGTGGTATGCTTAAGAGTGGATCAGACAGATAGATCAGACATACCATAGTCCCGTTTCTTCCCACCCTATTTTAGCAGCTGTCGTTTTAAATAAGTCGCGGAACGAAGCTTTATGAATTATACAGATACGCGACGATGACAGCGATACAATGTACATTCGCTGAATAGACACATTATGATTAAATCGGAACGGTGACCGCAGCAGAAAGGTTTTTTAATTCCCTTCAATTTTCATAACTGGTTGATTTGGTTAGTTTTTTATCAAATTCAAATGCGGAATACATAGCCAATGTAATTATTGAACAGTATGATGTATGCATGTACGATCGCTACTGTGTGGAATCATCATGGGTATGATACACATATGGAATTCGTCATCGTGGGCAAAAACGACTTGTGTACGCCCGTGCATGTGCATGCATGATTCACGACATTGTGCATGTGTAAAGCGGGTTGGGTATGTGTATGTTGGATTTACATGAAAAGTGAAGCAATTTCATTGAATCACTGCCGTAGAAGGAAAGCCAATTTGAGTGGCTTTACTTTGTTATAAATTTAAATAGCGGCGGTCGGACACACAGTGCGCATCGGCAATTGCATTTTAATATCAAAGATAATTTCAAGAAATGCGTCTTTTGGCACTGGGTTTAGTATTTAGGTTGATTTACAGTAAATTTATATATCCCGTTATTTTAACATTAAATTCCAATTTAATTTAAATTAAGTTTTAGTTAAATTCAGTAGAGTTTGTTAAATATTTAATTAAACTGAAATTATGTTGCATTCCTAAATGGAGTTGCAATATAATTGAGTTTAATTAATTTTCAATTAAATTGAATTTAATGTAATATGATATATTTTAAATTAATTTAAAGCAGGATATTTTTGCATTGTAGTAAAGAAATCTGATGTAGATGCATTTGCAAAGATTAACCCTCAAGTCAATGTAAAATTATACGGGGCTGGTCGGATAAAGATTAAAGACTAAGCTGGTGAACTCAACCATGTATTTAATGACGTAAACATTCGAAAAGATAAGTAAAAATCGACAAAATGATAATTAAAAACAGGGTGTTGATGAATCCGTCATCGGCGTTCAAGTTAGTACTGGAAAAGTGAACACAAACTGTGGAGACGCCGTATGTTCTTTCGGGTTAAATCTAAACACTCGCGTCACAAAGCGAACGGTACATAATATTGTCGTTGCGTGCATGTTTTAATGCGATTCTGTCAAGCAAATACAGTTAGCTGTTTTAAACTGGACAATTAAGTAAGCGTTAATAGTTCCTTGAAGACGTTTGCGAAGTGGTCCATGTGAATTACATCGTTTATATGTAGCAAACGTGTTACATACAGTACAATCACGAAATGTTGGTGGAAGGCGAGGAGGCAATTTGTTGGTTGGTTGGTTGGCGCTTGGGAGAAATAGCAGGATGAATTGTAAATGAAAAAAATATATACATGTATATATATTTATTCATATTTGCACCTCTTTTGTTGTGTATTTTTTTTTTGCTGCAAATTTTAATTTTACTTTGTTAGTTAATTAAAATCCATCCCATTAAATGAATGGTTTTGGCGTTTTTTCACACTATCTTGTGTTGGTGGCAAAATCCGTTAGTCCGTTATATGAGGTCTGTAGATGAGTCGCGACGTTTGTTTAATTTATGAAGTCTCCAATTTCCCGGCGCTTATAGCGACGTAGTTACGGTATGGTACGTAGCTACGCCGATTAAATACTTTTATGAATAGACATTGAATCGATGGCAGAAGGATATTAAGCATTTGCCCTAGCCTCGTACGAGTCGCTACAGTACAAAAAACACAACGTACGAACCAAGACCTCAATTGGCGATACAAAAGGGCCAGGCTTTCATCTGCATATATCCAACACCGTGACGTCACATACATGCATCACCTGTTTTCGCTTGTCTGTGTTGCATAAATTGTTTTAGTCCTATAATACGTACACACTTTGCTCCCAGCGTGATGCCGTGGTACATTATTTGCATCGCGCTTCATTAATCTGCGCAGTTTGTTACGCTTCAACTACCCGGACTGGACTCAATTTACGAGTTCGAGTTCGAAAATGCGCGAGGACAAGGACGTCGATCAGATTTCGACATATCGGAATCTTGAGCAAGATTCTATTTGTTTAATGTTTGAATGTGTTATTGTTCTTTTAAAATTTTAAATCGAATATAATTGTCGGACGCCGGATTGCTGTACTAAGAGCGCCGTGATATATCAAACAGCGAACTTTGGAGCGGCGGCTGCCACGACATCATAGAATACCTTTGATGAATGAACACACCGGCTGCATGTAGAATTATAAAAACTAATGTAGATTTCATTATGTCATGCTTTTTTGATTTATATCTGTACCATTAAAAACTAATGGTATCAATCATATTATGAAAAAGCGACATAGAAAAACAAATATTTGATGAAAACAAATAAATATTGGAAGTGAAAATGTTTTCCCAAGAAAAGTCCAACGATTGTCTTCACACCACCAAAGCGTATACACGCTGCGTATAGCGATTGAGAATTATCACTATTTCCCTCGAAATAAAGTGATTTTTCCAAAAATATGTAAATTAAAAAATGTGTTTGTATTTTTCTCATTTTTTTGCATATTTATATGCCCCGGGTGCGCCAATCTACACTATATAATTAATACCTCCGTAATTTTTCATTTAAGTTTTGAAAGCGAAATTCGTCGACTATCATTTATGAATAAACCTGCTTTTTAGTTTCTTTTTCTCAAAAATTTTGATCAATGAATATAAAATTCTTTCCCTTTGACCCGAATAAAAAAATACATTGTATTATTTAATATTAATTACATGTTTTGCTATGAACAAAACTTGGCGTCCTGAGCTTTTTGAATTTCTTTAGGAAATATAATTAATTTTTGTCACGAGTTTATTCGCCGTAATCAAATATGCGTGGTATTGATAGGACACGCATAACACATATAGTTCATGTTAAAGATGTTTGGTAGATTATTTTTTTTCGTCTTGTTGGTCAAGTTGACAAACAAAATCAATGATTACTTGTTTAATTTCTCTCGCAATCCTCACTATAATGCGACGTCATCAGAAATGTGCCGTTTTCCGTACGAAGCCAGAACTATAGTGTCGCTATTTGTAATTATTTGTCCGAAAGGACGTCGCGAACATTCTGTCGTTTCGTATATATTTAGCACGTAAGACAAATATCCCATCAATTGAATAAAAGAAACCGCGAACGAGCCTGACACGATTCGGACTGCATAAATTGCTGGACCTGTTGGTGTAATCGGATTCGCCGAATTCGGTCACAGTACTACGAGACGGAGGCGAGTATTTGAATCCACGTGAAATAGAGCACGTTGCGAAGGTGTTTTATTGAAATTTCTGTCACATAATTGTGAAATTAAAAGAAAAGCCGTCACTACACTTTTCAACAATTCCGGATATTTATGCAATCAAATATCTCACATAATAGTCACGTTACCCAACTGAAGCCATAGAAATAATCATAAAATTCAACTTCAAGTTTGCAAGTTAAAAAACCCATTAATTTCCCTTGATTGGTGTAACAGAAGATCTCAATGGTCGAAGGAAAGATTGTGGCTTGCAGTCAGTTAAGGTATTAACCTCTCAGGACAAACAAGGTACTACATGGCGTCGAAAGTCGATTCATTTTTTAATAAAACTATATATTTTTTATTGCGTTGAATTATATTCAATTACTTATTATTTTAATGAACTTTGATTACAAAATGACTAGTTAGTGTGCCTTGTTGGAAAACAATAATCGTTTCAGAGTATATTAAACTGAATTCGTGATATTTTACAAATATCGACAGAGAGTTGAGGGCAACATGGGTATTGCTGAATTATAAACTACAGTAAACACGTTGTTACACTGCCGCTGAAGCCGACCATCCATGGCGGTCCCTACGAACTCGTGCGTGATCGTGTTATGAGCAGCTGTATTTGATTGGGCACTCCAAGGAGCTGGATCCGTCAATCAGCGTTCTTGTATCAACAACTCGTATCAATTTCAAATTTAACCAATCGTCTTATATCACGTTGTAACTTTACTGACGAAAACACGCGACCTCGTGTTCGATTTCTCTTAAACGCGCGGCACGTTGTGTTTGATTTCGTCGACGGTAATTACAATTTTTTAGTGAGAATTTTACCAACCTTGACTGGCGGAGATTGTTTCCACACGTAAACTAGTTTTGTATTAATGAAATAGTAAACTACGCAAATGTGCATGCGTGTTGAATTACGGGTACGTACTACTAATGCCATGCGAATACGCGTAGATTGTTGTTCTTCCAAATGAACGACATAAAAATAACCCACTGTATATATAAACGCACACAAAAGAACCAAAATACTTTATTTAAATAAAATTATATTATCGATTAATCAAACGCGACAGATCAATAAACAACGTCTGATAATATATAGGTCAAAGAGGGGTGGACAATAATTATAGTTCGTGTGCCACAAATTTATGTACGTTTTGAAAGACAGAT